TTCACTATGAAAATTTAGAATTTTCGATAAAGCTAAAACATCCTCCTCAGTGAGTTCTCAAAGGTAATAACTGTCAGCAGTTTGGTAGGTGGACCTCAGGGATTTTTAAAGGCACTTCTAGAAAGATAAACATAAACCAAATGATATCACAGTATCGCTACTGTTTTACAACTTGATATTGCTATCTTATTGTGTTAGAACAGCCATAGCAAACCTCTACAGATACAATTTAGTGACATTAATGATCATTCTCAGGCTCCTTTTCTGGGTGTTCCTCCCCCATTAAGATAATCCCACTACCCCTTAAGGTTCTTAGCAAATATTTCAAGTTGCTATTGTTTGATCTCATATAGCTGGTACTTAATGCTCAAGGCAGACATTTTTCACTAGCTAAGCTAAACTACTGTTTGGCTTTAAGATGACTTCAGGGATAGTCTAGATTTAAGTTGTAAAGGTTGCCTCAGGTTTTAAGGGTTTATCCAGTTCCTTGTGGCTCGAAAAGTCTGTAGTCCAGGGGAATTAGAAATTCTGTTCTGCACTCTCTCCCTTTTGATCAGGATTCTTCTACAGAATCTTTATCAAAGTGCTCAGTCATGGCAGCCAGGCAGAGACAGTTGCCAGCACATCCCATATCCCCTCTCACGACTGACTCTCCTTCCTCAGTTTCTCCAGGAAAATAGAGGTCAGTTGTCGGGGTTACATGGCCACATATTGCTATTTTCCATTCAACCGCATATCACAAGAGCCATATCCACATATATATATATAAAAGCAACTCCTTTTTAATTGCTGCATAATCTATTTAGCTAGTCTTTACTGTTAGACACTTAGGGTACTTCCAATTTTTTGCTACTACGAGCAATATTGTACTGAACACCTTTGTGCATGTCCCCTCAGGCAGAAGTGTGATGATGGTTTCTCTGATGGTGAAGAGTGGGACGGTGTCAGAAAACATGACAGCCTGAAAATGTGATAAACACAATTAGAGTTGCCTTTGCCAGCATAACCTAGTCCACAAAGTCTACGTCCTACATAGGAATCCCCACTAAGGACTTAACAGCTCAGGAGGGACCCGCTGAGATACAACTATTGTCCGCCCCCTGTCCAGAGAGAAGAAGAATGGTGAAAATTGAAGACTGAGGAGACAATTAGTCCAACGGACCACATGGACATCAGTCTCCACAGCCCTGAGACAGAAAAACTAGACGGTGCCCAGCTACCATGCTTCTGAAAGGGATTACTTTAAAAAGTCCTAGCTAGAGTACAAAAAGACATGGAACAAAATTCCTGAAGGAGACCAAGCTTGCTGACTGGATGTGGGTGATGGAATCCCTGAGACTAGGGTCTTTGACTGCCCTTTGTGTCTGGAACTGCACACCCCCCGGTGGCTCAATTTTTAGCCAAACAATAATGGGGATGACATTGATGGGTATGACTGATGTGTACACACCTTAGAATACTCGACCACTTGGGATCCTGGGGCAGCATTTACCCAAAGACATAGTTCAGAAGGGGAGGAAAGGTGGAGGGATGGAGACAGGAAAACAGGGAGATGGTAGACTGGGCGATGGTCCACTGAGGAGACTGCAGTGAATGAGCAGAAACAGAATGTGTATACATCATTGAATACATAAAACAAGACCCGTTCGGTAAACCTTCACCCAATTCACAATAAAAAGTTTTTAAAAAAAATCTTAATTAAAATTTCAGGTGAACTCCCAGACCTGTCCATTCACCCAGTAAATGTTTCTACTTATATTGAAAAATGATCCCTATCTTTTTCTTCCAGGCCCTCACATGTTATATTTTGAGGTGCCCCCTTTATTGACTCTAGTTTTAAAATGTTTTACTTGTAATAGCACCACCAGAGAGGAATGTACTCCTTAGAATAATCAACCCTAAGAGACCAAAGGGGCAACATGTGCCCGGGGACAAAGTTCAGAAGGCAGGAAGGAACAGGAAAGAAGGGCCGATGGGGACGGTAAACACAGGGGGCAGTGCTGTCGGGACTGCAAACCATGGCACAGAGCAAAATGTGCACAAAGTGCCCGATGGGAAACTTAACTTGCTCCGTAAACTTCTTTTTGTGAACTCTCACCTAAACCACAATAAAAACTTAAAAAATCAATCAATTTGAGGTTGGGGGGAAATGGGGAGCTAATAAATAGGAGCACAAGAATGAAGAAAATGCTCTAAAACCGATTGTAGTGATGATTGCACATCTCTTCTTGATGTGACTAAACTACTGAATTGAACAATATGATAATCATATGCCAGTAAAACTGCTGAAAAAGCAGAATCAAAACCCAAACCAAAATCAATCAATTTGCCTTTGCCAGTTCTGTAGTATAGTTGTTATTGGTAATAATAGTTATACACCTGACCAGCAATTTCACTTATTCATTCCTTTAAAATTCTAGGACCTCCCCTTGATTTAAACATTGTTTACACAGTAGAAAGAATACCAGATTGGAAACTGGAAGGTATTAATTCAAATCCTCTTCCTGCTCCTAATTATTGCTTAATCTTCAGCAATCATTTTAACATCGTGGTCCCAGTTTCTGTACCTATAAAGCAGAATTATCCGATGCTTCCCAAAATCTAGTACTGACACCACTGAAAGCAAGCAGGATACTTTTATTTATAATAATTATCAATATTTTAAATGAGGGAAAATATAATTACCATATCAAATCATGTATTCCTTCATACTATTATAAAACTTACTTTCTTCAGAGACATTCATTTCCATTAAAGGAGAAGTTACAGAAAAACATTGTGCATGTAATACAGGAGGTATAAAGATAAAATAAATCATGAGTATGAGAAATGACGGGCTCCAGCGCTCTCTCTCAAAGAACCTTCAGATTTTATGTCAGACCTCCAACTTTCAACAACAGGAAAATGTACACTGTCAACAACAAAAAATGGGAGTGGCCAACAGGAGGGTGTTGACTTCTTGTAAAGGCAACAACAGGGCACAAACGGGCATATCCCATCACTGTTTGTCACCAAAAGATCTGAGTGTTCCTGAGTATGAAGAGATTTCAAACGGAACACGGTATAAGGAGGCATTGTCTCTCTCCTCCAAATTCTTTATGCATTTCCTTCCACACATCTAGTCATGTTTGCAAAAGAGGTAAAACAATGTTTCATGATGATAAAGCACATAGCTAAATATTTGACAATTTTTACGTGACTTTGATTACATTCATCGTGGTCTTCAACAATGACTACTATTATTTCCCCTATCATTCTAGCATTATTAACAGAAGCTCAGTGCTCCCTAAGCAGTGACTTCCATTTCCCCCTTGCTCCTCACCCCTTAGAGCCTGTAAGCTTAGGTCTATATCTTTGCCTATTTCATCTAAGTGGGGTCCTACAGGATTTGTTTTATAACTGACTTATTTCACTAGGAACGGCACTTTAAAGTATGTTGTTAAATAAATATGAATATGATTATTATACACACACACACAAACACAATCTATCACCTCAGAATAAAAGAACAGGAAAGGACAGGTAGCAACCCTAACCTTACTAAGCCATTTGGAAACCACTGGTTTAGATGATTTTCTACCCTTCAAATTTCATGGTTAGATCTAAGATATTCTGAACATTTATGCTTTTCCTTCCTTACTAACCTATGCACATTTCAAAAGACGATTAGGACTCTCTTCAGCATCTCTTTGGGTAAATAATCCTAGACTGCACCGTCTCTTTCCAGCCCTCAGTCTGCTTGTTGCATGCAGCCAGGTTTGTGCTGCATCCATCATGCTCAGTGGGCTCTCTCCGAGGGTTTCAAACGAGGGTCCATAGGGTTAGGTTCATATCGTGAAAATACACGTGATATTTTGGGTATACACCTTGCCTCCTGGGGAAGGATTTCTAGCTTCCTATGATCCAAATTAAGTTAGAAACGCTGCTTCAGTCAAGTTTCTTGCTTTTGTTTTAAATTATCCCTTTTTAAGGAGCTTTCAGCCCCTTACGGGTTTTTCTCTGTGTTTTTGTTTTTGCAGGGGATAGGGGTGTCTAATTTCTGGCTAGCATTGGCCAGCTGCATTTCTTATTTGCACCTGAAGTCTTCTTATGAAAAGAAGATTTTGAAAAGACAATCTCCTCAGCCAGTCAGTCAGATGGGCTTTGGATTTTTTATTTCATTTCTATGTGTTGAAGCACAGAAAGGCAGAAAAAGACAGAGTTATGCCCACATGGAAAGTGACAGGCAGGTAGACGAGAAGCTGGAGACAGTGAGAGTCACTGGCACAGACAGAAGGCCTGTGGATAGAGAGCCAGGCAAAAGAAACACGGAGAAACCCAGGAACAGGGAAAGAGAGATCCCAAGGATAGAGCAGAGAGAAGGAAAGCAGGGCAACAGACAGACTGCCAGGGAGAGAATGACTGAAGGAGAAGCCGGCAAGCTCTCAAAAGGTACAAAGACAAGCCAATAGGAATCGGCAGAGAGCGGTCGGCAGCCAAAGGCAGAAAACAACAAGGAAGACAGTGATGATGCTTTATACTACGCAGCGCTTTATAAAGTACTATCACATACATTATTGCAGACAGATGGGGTGATGAAGGGATACAGGCCAATCAGACGGAGAGAAGGGAAGTGACCAATCAGAAAGGAAGGCAAGAATGAAGCCCAAGATAGATGCATTCGGGGACAGAACCAAGGAAAGGGGAGAACAGGACACAAGACTGGCAGAAACAAAGGCTACAGAAGGTACATGGAGGGGCACAGGCAGGAAAGCAGCAGGAGCGAGAGAGCTGTGCACTGCCCCGGGGATACAAGTTTCATCCTTACTCTTCCTGACAGCGATCTGGACAGGGGCTGGGGCTATTTGACCCCCAAGAGGTTGTAAAATCACTAAGGTAGGATGGGAGAGGGGCCAAAAGGAAGGATGAAAAAGGAGACCAGTAGTTCTCAGCAGCAAAGGCTTTAGTCTAGGAGAGACAAACTTCTGGGGCAGGCCTATCTCAACCTCCATTCCTGTGCCTTTAAGAATGAATACACGCAGACTGAGTGAGAAAAGCAAGGAAGGCCTCCATCCACGCTCTACTCAATCCACGGCTTACTAACTCTCTGGGCTTGTTCATTGTAACATGTTTGAGAGCGCTCAAGTCTTTTCTCGAGGAACACAAATGTCAACGAAGAAGAGATCAACAGGAATGTGCTTTTATTAAGACAACTGACTACATGGAATAGAACAGGTCAGGAGAAAGCAAGCCCTGCTGATGTTCTCTTCAAGGGCTGGAGGTAAATGCCTCAAACTAGCAGCTGGAAACCAAAGCTAAACTCAGAGCCGTGAGTCAGTTCCAACTCACGACGCCCCAGGAGGTCCGGCGCAGAACTGCTCCACAGCGTGCATTTCAGGTGCAGCAGACTGTCAGGCTCTCCTTCCGCGCGGCACTGCTGGCTGAATCCGAGCCACCATCCTTTAGGCTAGCAGCTGAGCACAGAAGTATTTGCGCCAGAAATTAGCAACTAGTTCATCAAAGAGACAAGCGCCATAAAGGCAAGTCAAAAAGACAAGAGGCAAGAAGCGGCAGCCCTCCTAATGGAGGAAGGAGCACTGACCGAGAACCAAGCATCCAGGCAAACTGAGAGGAGGGGTGGCGAGAAGCAAGTCAACTTTTGCGCCCTGTTCTCTGGAACCATGTCCAAGGCACTCATTGTCGGCCTGGGGCTGTCTTTGGGGCGAGAGAGAGGGATAAGTGAGAGTCTTACTCTTCGCTGTCTACCTTTTTACAATTTAACACTTTCCTATCATGTGCATTTGCCACCTATTCGAGGGTTGGCTCGGGACAAAAAGAAGAGAAAAGAAAAGCAAGCAGGATGTGGACAGCAAGAGCCTGCCAGGCCAGGCAAACAGACAGTAAAAGGTGAGAAGACAGGGAAGATCCCAGGAGATTGGCAAAAAGATGCACTGAGGCATTAACTGTCTGAACAGTCAAAAAAACCCAAACCAGACAGACAGACAGAAACAACTGAGAGTGAAGGGAGGTAGCTGGAAAGCGGCAGGGTAGGGGATATAGCAAGATGATAGAGCGATAAAGAGTTTGGGGCAAAGGGGAACAAGATACAATAAAAATAAATTAAAAAAACAAGATTAAGAGATTAAATAATGGGGTAGCAGTAGGCAAGGAGCGTCGACAGGCCAGAAGAGAGAGAGGGGAATTAAGGAGAAATCATGAACAGACAGGAATAAATAAGGGGGGGGTAAAGAGACAGCAAGGTCAGCTAAGAGGCAAATGAAGATCGGGAACCACGGCAGGGCTTGGGAGGTAGACAAACCAAGAGAAGCAGGCTGAAAAATGATAGAGACAGGCAGGCGGGAGACAGATGGCTCGAGAGAAAGTGGTGGGCAAACAGCCAGAGAAGCAGACAGAGGGAGCGAGAGAGGCTGCCAGCCAGTGAGGGAGGAGCAGACAGGCAGGCAGACACCATAATAGGACCAAGCAGGTAGAGATGCAGGTGGGAAGCAGGCTAGAAGAGAAATCCAGACATCAGTCGGGAGGACGAAGAGAACGAGAGAGAAGAGACAGGATGGCAGGGGCAGAAAAGGGCAGGGGGGAGAAAATCAGGCAAAATGAACAGATCCAAATACAAAGCACACCCTAGAGAGAGCATGACTAATGTTTGCACAAGGGTGCACACAGTCACCCCAAACCCGGTCTTTAGCCACCCACACCTGCAGATCATGGCACATGTGGCAAGCAGGCAGAAGCACGCACTAGAGAGGGCGCAGGTCAGAGAGGCAGAGACAGCAGCGCACACACGATGCACTGTGTGGCCCCCTCCACCCACCCACCATCACCACACACGTGGAGGCCCTCTTCACAGACACAGTACGATCCACAGACACATACCAGGGGGGCAAAAAGAAGAGAGCGTGCCAAGGCACTCACGGTCACAGGCCGGAAAACAGAAGTAAACAGAAAACAGAGATGGAAAGTCACTTAGAGGTGACAGTGCCTGAGTCAAAGGGATGAAAAAGACCACCTCAGTGAGAGAGAAAAAAAAAAGACAGACAGACACACACACACACACACACAGAAACCCAACTATAGAAAGAGGGGAAACCCACACAGACTAGTACAGAGACTGACAGGACAGAACAAAATCTGGTGGAAGAAGAGTAGGAATCGGACACAGTTCAGGAATGACATGGAGAAGGACGAGAATTTCAAAGCTAACATTGAGAAAAGATGAAAACCAATGCTCGGTAAAAGTGCGTCAGTGGGGCGGGGAACCCTAAAGAGTGTTTTAGCCTCTTTAATAAAAAATGTACACATTCTCCCTCATCACTAACACTTTCTGGTTGCTGCCTCCCTCCCAGGGTGCTCTGGGCCACTGCAGAAGCTGGGGGGCTGACAGCTCCATTGAAGGGGCAAGAGATCTAACCCCAGAGAGAAAGGATTCCGTAGGCCTGGGCCAAAGGAGATCCAAAGGATGGACGAGGAAGAAGGGGATGATCAGAAGGAAAAAAGAGAGCCCTGCGATACCGAGACGCGGCTCCACTTCCAACCTCTCTGGTCCAGTCTCTGCACGAGGAAGTTACCCTCGGATGCCTTTCCCACCTTCCTTCCGATGACTGGTACCATTCCATGAGCTACCCACTAGAGTACAGGCGCAGCCCGCAGTTTAGGACAGACGCACACGCCGGGTGTCCACGGATCCCCACCCCCTACCTCTTTCTCAGTCCAGTGACTTTCCTCACGCAGTCCCTCAGTTTCTTCTACTTTGTCAACGCTGGAGAAGGTGAATGTACTCAACTGGGAGAAAAGAGAACATCATTTCACAATCTTCGGACTTGAGTCTTTCCCCCCTTATTCTACACATTTTGTTCTACTCACACCAACTCAATTGCCTAAATCTGATAAATTTTACATCCAAACAATTAAAGGAAAGGTGTGTGTGGTGGTGGTGGGGGGTGTCAACGTGGAAAAGAATGAAGATAAAATTTCTAATAATTATAAATCACTAAAAAGGCCGGGCAAAGGGAAGAATCAAACATGGACTCCTTTGCAAAAAACCTCAATCATTGTATCTATTCATATCTCTCCCCCAAAAAGTCACTGAAATTTCTATCACTTTTTTCAAAGAAAGAAAAATCCTGTACCGCTTCTCACTTAAAAGACACGGACACAATTAAATGCGTTTTTACTTCAGTGAGGTATGCAGACACAGATTTATATATAAACATATATTTCATCTTTTCCTTTTCAATGCCTGAAGGGGGAAAAAAAAACCTTCACATCAAACCACTCCCTTCTGAAGTATTCAGAAAAAAAAAAAAGCTTTTCTTTAGAGAAGGGAGGTGGGGAGGAAGAGACTAGTGAAGAAAAGAAAAAAAATCAAATCTAGTTGGACTAGTATTTAACTAGTTAACCTTTAACAATTTATGCTGATGTCAGACTGAGCATGAGTACTGATTAATGCCCCCCCCAGATATTTTTTCTAAGGGGGGAGTTAAGTCACAGCAGCCATTTTTGTTTTATGCAGAAATCTTTCATGCCCCCCCAAATTCACACACACACACATTCAGTACACAAGAAAAATATCCATTAATCTGTGCACTAATCAGTTATGAAAAAAGGGAGAAATTTGTGGGTTTCTGGGTAGAGGCTTGGAGATGGGGGTGTAGCAGGGAGGAGAAGGGGGGGTGAAAAATGAAATATTAAGCCAGCCATTTTGTTTTAAAAGGGGATTTTCCCCCCTCTCCCTTTCTTCTTGGAGGGGGTGGCCATCCTGGAGGGGGGGGGTTGTTTTAAAAATAATTTCAAGGCGGCCATCTTAGTGCCTCAGCTCTGAGAAATATTTCTGAGCGCCCCCCTCAGAATTTAAATACATTTAAAGCAACGGAGAAAGGGGTAGAGAGAAGTCGAAAACTTTTATATATATATATAT